TCAGTATATCGTCCAGGTAAACGATAACGAAAATGTCCAGGTAATCCCTAAAAATATCGTTTACGAAATGCTGAAATGTGGCTGGTGCATTGCACAGACCAAATGGCATGACCAGGTATTCAAAGTGCCCAAAATCGTGTACGGAGCGCGGTTTTCCACTCGTCCCCCTCCCTTATGCGAACTAGGTTGTACGCCCCCCCTTAGATCAAGTTTAGTAAATATGACCGCAGTCTTCAGGCTCTGAAATAACTCTGGCACTAACGGTAATGGGGTAACGATTTTTAATCGTGACCCTGTTCAGCTCCCGGTAGTCTATACATGGTCTCAGAGATTTGTCTTTTTTTTCCACGAAGAAGATCCCCGCCCCTGCTGGCGAAGTGGAGGGACGGATGAACCCCTTCTGGAGACTGTCCTCAATGTATCCTTCAGGGCCCTCAATTCGAGTTCCGATAGGGGAAAAATTCGCCCAAAAGGAATCTCAGAGCCGGGTAACAGGTCAATGGGACAGTCATACGGGCGGTGGGGGGGCAGGGCATCTGCTCCCCGTTTACTGAACACGTCCAGGAATTCATGATATTCTGTGGGAATAACCTGTTTCAGATCAGAATCCCCCTCGGAGCATAGGAGGACCTGGGGGCCTGCGGGCCTGAAGTGCGGCAGTGTTCCTGACAGTATGGGGAAGGGAACAAGATTGACCCGGTTTCCCAGTCAATTTGGGGGTTATGGGCCCGTAACCAAGGGAGCCCCAAAATGACTGGGAACAGAGGTGACGCAATGGCATCCAGGCGGAGGAATTCCCGGTGTTGGTTGGCAATGGTAGTGGCAATGGGGGGAGTATTCCTGATTAACCCACTCCTGATTTTATCTGGGAACCATCGGCCAAAAATATGTTAAAACCCCTCTTTCTGGGGGTTGGAGGGGAATTTTCTGCTGACGAGCAAAGTCTAAATCCAGAAAACAACTGCATGCCCCCGAATCAATTATGGCTGTCACTTCCACGGTCCTTTCGGGGAGCTGAAAGGAGAGGGGTACAACTAAGTATTGGGAAGGACTGACATTGCCAATAGACAAGGAAGAAAAAGAGGTACACTTACTCATTTTCTGAGGGCAGGATCGTACCATATGACCGGCTTCCCCGCAGTAGAGGCAGAGGTTCTGCGAGCGTCTCCGCTGGTGTTCTTCTGGCGATAATTTTGGGTCGAGCCAGCCTAGTTGCATGGGTTCTGGAACATCTCCTGGGAGTGGATTCTGGATACTTGGTCTAGGTGGTTGGCTGGGGCCTAGGAATGGACCCCAGTTGTTTCCACGACCCTGGCCGGACCTCTCAAACCTGCGTTCCCGCAGTCGTCGGTCAATCTTTATCGTCAGGGCAATTAGGTCCTCTAATGACTCAGGAACCTCTACCCGGGCCAGCTCATCCTTTAGGGGTTCTGATAGCCCCATGCGGAACTGGTGCAACAAAGCAAACTCGTTCCAGCGAGTGTCCCCCATCCAGCGCCTAAAATCTGAGGCGTATTCCTCGGCCGCCCGACGGCCCTGTCGGAGTGTGTATAAGATTGCTTCGGCAGAAGCAGCCCGCTGCGGGTCATCATATAGGATGGCCATCGCCTCAAAGAAGTCCTTGACTGTTCCTAGGTGTGGGTCATTGTTTTCCCTTAACCGATGGGCCCAATCTTGGGGTTCGCCCTGCAACAGTGAGATTATAAATCCCACCTTCACTGATTCGGTCAAAAAGGTACGGGTTGAAGTTCAAAAAATAGGAGGCAGGACTCACGGAATGACCTGAAGCGTGTGCGGTCCCCGTGAAAACGCTCCGGTAGGGGTACCCGGGGTTCCGCCATAGGTAGCGGGGCGGAGGCCCCTGATGCTGGCTCAAGAGCAGCTGGGGGTGCAGAAACTGGGGCCTGTGGGGCTGGGTCAGATAGGGAGCAGGTCTGGAAGCGGTGCTCCAGCTGCATGCATTTATCCTGCAGGGCTGCTTACGGCCTGCGTCAGGTTAGATAGATGCCTGCAAATTTCTTCCAGCGGGGAGGGCCCTCCTCTAGGCTCAGTCATGGCCTTCTGGTACTGTAAGGGACCGCCTGGCGACACCACTAGCACTCCACTAATCAGGCGTCCCCAGCGCACGGAGTCTAAGTCCCAGAGTACTTGTTCACCAGAGCCCCTGATGGTGGGGATGGACTTGGAGTACCCCGGACCAGGTCGTGCTTACTGAGGGCACCCGTCAGTGGTAGGGGTGGTCGCCAGGGGCTCCCACGGGAGAGAGCCTGATATGAGGAGGTCTGGGAACCCCGCTGAGAGGAATGGATGCATGGATGGATGGATGAGCAAGTGCAGAGTCAGGTGCAAGCCGGGTCGGTAACGGGGAGGACAGCACGGTACAAGGCAGCGGGCAGAGAATAGTCGGGTCACACGCCAGGTCATCAACAGTAGGTCAAATCCAATAGGGGGACATACGGAAGAGAGGTCAGGCAAAGCAAGGGTCTGGGCAGGAGAATTCAGCAGTGGTCAGTACAATCCGGGTCAGCAACTTACAGGTTCAGGTTCAGATACAGGATACAGGGCAAGGACAAGACCAGAAGGCACTGAATGACAGCTCAGGGCCGTTTAAATATCGCGCCCTGCGCTGCCATTGGTGCCCAGCGGGCGGCCGCGGCTCCTATTGCGCATGCGCGAACTCACGCGCCGCGGCCGGCCCGGACCTAGAGCCCGCGTCCCTGCACAGGGCGGCATACTGCGCCTGCGCCGGGACCATCGCGGCGGGGATCGAGGGGATCCCTGACAGGAGCAATGGAGACACCTTTTGGACAGCAATATTTTTTTTTTTCTCAACTGCTATTGTGAGGTTTAGATGGTATTCGGTAATGGCCTCTAGTAGATAAGTTTACCCTTACTGAATCTTGCCCTTGGGCTTGGGCGTGTGTGGGGGCAAGGGGGGGAAGCACCTTCATTCCATCATTCTCCCTAGCCCCCCCTCTTTCCTGTTACATCTCCATGTAACTATTCTCATGAGTGTTTGGAGTCAATGCCGGTCTCCTGCTTCTGATTCTTCTCGAACATACACTTGAGTCATTTTTTATTTATTTTTTTCTTACTAAACTTTAAGCCATCCCATGTTTTGTCAGGTCATTCTCATCTATATGTACATTAAAGACTGTTTGTTTTTCTTGGGGGCCATGCTATGAGCAAGTGTATATACAGTCATGGCCGAAATTGTTGGCACCCTTGATATTTTTCCTGAAAATCAAGTATTTCACACAAAAAAGGTATTGCATTAACACATGTTTTGCTATACACATGTTTATTCCCTTTGTATGTATTGGAACAAATATAAAACAGAGGCAGAAAAGCAAATATGACATAATGTCACACAAAACCCCAAAAATGGGCTGGACAAAAGTATTGGCACCCTTAACTTAATATTTGGTTGCACACCCTTTGGAAAACATAACTGAAATCAGTCGCTTCCTATAACCATCAATAAGCTTCTGACACCTCTCACCCGGAATTTTGGACCACTCTTCCTTTGCAAACAGCTCCAGGTCTCTCTTATTGGAAGGACACCTTTTCCCAACAGCAATTTTTAAGATCTCTCCACAGGTGTTCAATGGGATTTAGATCTGGGCTCATTGCTGGCCACTTCAGAACTCTCCAGCGCTTCTTTGCCATCCATTTTCTGAGTGCTTTTTGACGTATGTTTGGGGTCATTGTCCTGCTGGAAGACCCAGGATCTTGGACGCAAACCCAGCTTTCTGACACTGGGCCCTACAGTGCGACCCAAAATCCTTTGGTAATCCTCAGATTTCATGATGCCTTGCACACAGTCAAGGCACCCAGTGCCAGAGGCAGCAAAACAACCCCAAAACATCATTGAACCTCCACCATATTTTACCGTAGGTACTGTGTTTTGTTCTTTGTAGGCCTCATTCCGTTTTCGGTAAACAGTAGAATGATGTGCTTTACCGAAAAGCTCTATCTTGGTCTCATCTGTCCACAAGACGTTTTCCCAGAAGGCTTTTGGCTTCTCAAGTACATTTTGGCAAACTGTAGTCTTGCTTTTTTATGTCTCTGTGTCAGCAGTGGGGTCCTCCTGGGTCTCCTGCCATAGCGTTTCATTTCATTTAAATGTCGACGGATAGTTCGCGCTGACACTGATGCTCCCTGAGCCTGCAGGACAGCTTGAATGTCTTTGGAACATGTTTGGGGCTGCTTATCCACCATCCGGACTATTCTGCGTTGCAATCTTTCATCAATTTTCCTCATCCGTCCACGACCAGGGAGATTAGCTACAGTGCCATGGGTTGCAAACTTCTTGATAATGTTGCGCACTGTGGACAAAGGCAAATCTAGTTCTCTGGAGATGGACTTGTAACCTTGAGATTGTTGATATTTTGCCACAATTTTGGTTCTCAGGTCCTCAGACAGTTCTCGTCTCCTCTTTCTGTTGTCCATGCTTAGTGTGGCACAGACAGACACACAATGCAAAGGTTAAGTGAACGTCTCTCCTTTTTATCTGCTTTCAGGTGTGATTTCTATATTGCCCACACCTGTTACTTGCCCAGGTGAGTTTACAGGAGCATCACATGCTTGTAACATTCTTATTTATCCGCAGTTGTGAAAGGGTGCCAATACTTTTGTCCAGCCCATTTTTTGGAGGTTTGTGTGACATTATGTCGAATTTGCTTTCTTTCCTCCCTTTTTTTGTTTTGTCCCAATACACACAAAGGGAATAAACATGTGTATAGCAAAACATGTGTTAATGCAATACGTTTCGTGAGAAATACATGATTTCCTGGAGAAATATCAAGGGTGCCAACAATTTCGGCCATGACTGTACCTTTTTGTCTATACTGTGTTATGTTGAATCTTTCAATGTGTGTAAATTTTGTTGTCAACAGACATGTTCTGTCTCCCTTACAAGACAGAGACAAGCTGAAACACTGTTTTGACGTTGCGATTTACTTCATTGTTAATATGTTTTCCTCTTCCTTTTTTTTTAGGCAGCCAGTCTGGGTTTACTGCAGTATCCAATCCTAAATGCCTCCGTGGATGAAAACTGCCAAAATATCACGTATAAGGTCTGTATTGTCAAAGCTGCAGTGCAGCATAAAACTACACGGTCACTGAGAGGACAGCTAAAGATAATGTGAACAAAACAGACATTAGTTAAAGGGTCAGCTCACCCTAAAGTGATATTTTGTATATTAAATGTTTTTATTTTAGGGTTAGCAAACAGGAACAAGGATGATATCCCAGGAATATAACAAACAAACATGTCAAGTACAGATGTGTGCAAGTCATATAGTGATATATTTTAATTATACAGTTGCAAGAAAAAGTATGTGAACCCCTTGGGATTACGCAGAGTTTTGCATGAATTGGGCATAAAATGTGCTCTGAACGTCATCTAAGTCACAACAATAGAAGAACACAGTCTGCTGAACATAATACTACACAAACATTAGATGTTGCCATGGTTTAATTGCACATAACATGTAAACATTCACAGTGCAGGGAGGAAAAATGATGTGAGGCCCTAGCTTAATGACTTCTCCCAGAGCTAATTGGAGCCAGGTATGAGCCAACCTTGACTCCAATCAGTGTGATGATATTGGATGTGTTGCTGACAGCTGTCCTGCCCTTAAAAAATACACACCTGTTTTGGGTTTACTGGTTTCAGGAAGCACTGTCTGATGTGAACCATGCCTCGCAGAAAAGAGCTCTCAGAAGACCTACGATCAAGAATTGTTGACTTGCATGAAGCTGGAAAGGGTTCCAAAAGTATCTCCAAAAGCCTTGATGTTCATGTGTCCACGGTAAGACAGAATGTCTACAAATGGAGAAAAGTTTTAGCACTGTTGCTACTCTCCCTAGGCGTGGTCGTGCTGTAAAAATGACCGCAAGAGCACAGCGCAGAATGCTGCATGAGGTAAAGAAGAATCCCAGAGTGTCAGCTAAAGACCTACAGAAATCTCTGACACATGCTAACATTTTTGTTGACACATCTACAATAAGGAAAACATTAAACAAGAATGGAGTACATGGGAGGACACCACGGAGGAAGCCATTGCTGTCCAAAAAGAATATTGCAGCACGTTTGAAGTTTGCAAAAGAGCACCTGGATGTTCCACAGCACTACTGGCAAAATATACTGTGGACAGATGAAACCAAGATTGAGTTGTTTGGGAAGAACACACAACACTATGTGTGGAAAAAAAAGGCACAGCACACCAACATCAAAACCTCATCCCCACTGTAAAACATGGCGGAGGGAGCATCATGGTTTAGGGCTGCTTTGCTGCCTCAGGGCCTGGATGGATTGTTGTCATTGATGGGAAAATGAATTCCAGAGTTTATCAAGACATTTTGCAGGAAAACGTACGACCATCTGTCCGCCAACTGAAGCTCCGCAGAGGATGGGTGATGCAACAGGACAATGATCCAAAGCATTCAAGTAATTCAACAAAACAATGGCTGCAACAGCACAGAATACGCCTTCTGGAGTGGCCCAGTCAGAGTCCTGACCTTAACCCGATTGAAATGCTGTAGCATGACCTTAAAAGAGCGATTCACACCAGACATCCCAAGAATATTGCTACACTGAAACAGTTTTGTGAAGAGGAGTGGTCCAAAATGACTCCAGATCGTTGTGCAGGTCTGATCTGCAACTACAGGAAACGTTTGGTTGAGGTTATTGCTGCCAAAGGAGGGTCAACCAGTTATTAAGTCCAAAGGTTCACATACTTTTTCCTCTCTGCACTGTGAATGTTTACATGTTATGTGCAATTAAACCATGGCAACATCTAATGTTTGTGTAGTATTATGTTCAGCAGACTGTGTTCTATTGTTGTGACTTAGATGATGTTCAGAGGACGTTTTGTGCCCAATTCATGCAAAACTCCACGTAATCCCAAGGGGTTCACATACTTTTTCTTGCAACTGTAAGTGAAGGAATGTGAGCCAATTTGCTAGCTGGATATTTTTATCCATCAGGGACTCCCTTGTCATACTGTCTGGCCAGACTGCCCACTTCTGTCCCTCATTTTCCCAACAGACAAAGAATCTCTCATCTTCTGCTGCAGTCTTTACAGTGTTATACAAATGAGAATTCTTTCAGTAAAACCTTGTAATGGATGTTCCTGCAGCTTTATGTGCAAAGATCTTTCCATAATGCCAGCATACGTATGAAAAGCTAATAGGTGAAGGAAGCTGCTAAAAGGTGTAATATCCATTTCGAGTGGACTGACCATTTAAGACAAATGCTTTACCCTTTATAGAAGCATGTTTTGACGTGTCTTTTCTAGGCTGCTCACAACATTGGGATTGCTATGGATACGCATCAAGGTCTGATTGTCCCAAATGTGAAGAATGTACAAGTACGGAGTATATTTGAAATTGCTGCTGAACTTAACCGACTTCAGACCCTGGGTACCTCAGGGCAGCTGGGGGCTTCCGAATTGACAGGAGGAACTTTTACACTATCCAACATTGGTTCTGTAAGTGATCGTGGCATAGTGTGTGTGAACACCTAAAGAGCCATCTGCTTAGTTTACTGACCTCTTCTATATTCATTTTTAGATTGGGGGTACTTATGCCAAGCCTGTTATATTACCACCAGAAGTGGCTATTGGTGCTATTGGAAAATTGCAGGTTGGTTATTTTTCATAAAAACTTGTAGAAAGAAAATGTATTCCCACACCAAAGGATTGTTGCCACTTGTGAAATATGTCTTGGGATCTGATAGTTCCACACTTACACAGACACTGTTACTGAATTATGCACATACACCTGTACATTGTCTGTATATTCTCTTAGCCATGTCAATTTGCTTACATTAAAACCGTTTTATATATTTTTAAATATAGACTTTATTCACAAAGATAACACACCAGGATTAATGATACTTTATTTTCATAAACAATGTTTTTTATTGGAAATCAAGTTTCACACAAACCTCAATAGGAGAAATGTATACATTCTGATCTTCCAGGTCTGCTAAAAAATATAAAACTGTTTTAATGTACAGAAAAAAAAAAAAACGGTGTGTTTAACCAGGGTTAAAAAGGGAGGATAGGCAGGTTTAAAAGGAGAGGGAGTAGTGGTGATTACCCCAGAGGTATGGAGCAGGGAAAGGCTCATGTCTAAGCTCTGAGTGGCGAGGTATATTTGGACAGGGGCAGATAGGTGCATTAGGGTTCCAGTGGGCGTGATCAAAGCTTGGTGGTAAGCATTTGTCTATCCGGGGCTGTCACAGCATGTTGTGCCTATCCATCTGGTCTGCCAATGAATCCTAAATCATGGGCCGTGTAACTCCGTTTTTGCTTTCAAGAAAAAGTCTCTAGTGGGTTTCCTTAAACCTTAGCTATTGTCTGTTTAGACTCTGTAAGTGAAGATTAAACTGAGAATTAATGATATCAGGTGAGCATTTATTTAGGAGTGCCACAGTTAGTTCAGGGTGTGTATGTTGAAGCCTAGGAGACCTGAGACTGTTTAGGAAATTTTGGCCCAAAAGGTGGCAACTATTGAGCAGGTCCACCAAATGTGAAAAATTGTTTCAGGCATAGCACAGCCTTTGAAGCAGGAGGATGAGTAGCTGGGGACAAACTTACCTATTTATCTTAGCCAGAACCAGGTACCAGCGAGATGGCAATTTAGCGTTTGTTTCAACCTACAAGGATACTTTATTTTCAAACAAGTGACAGGTATTTTTAAAGTAGAACTAAAGTGAAGAATACTCACCTATTCTCCAGTGGTCTGAGACCCCCTAGGTCCCTCGCCTACATCTTCTCTCTGGCTTCTTCTGGGTGCAAGTCTTCAGCCAACTTGATTAGCTGGTGCAGAATTACATCACTCCACGCATGTGCAGGAGTCAGTCATCTTGAATCACTGGCATGCTCAGCTCTGTGTACATTCTGCAGGGCAATGCAAACAGGCAGGTAAGTATATTTTATTGCAGAGGAGACATTGCATGTCTCTTCTGTAGTAAAGAGCCTGCCTTTTCACAATTTATTATTAGCCTTTAGTTCTGCTTTTAAAGTGTATCAAAAGAGATTTCAAAATTAGTCACTTGGCTAAAATGAAGATACTTATTCACGTGTTAAAGCTTTATGAATTGAGCTTTGTGTCCATATACTACATACAGCAAAGATTGTGGTTTACCTGTTCACTGGTGGGATCTTGGGACAGCTTTGAGATTTATGCAAACACAGCAGTGTTCTCTGAAATATCTTCTGCATAATAGCTCTTTTGCTACAGGCAAGTATAAATCTAGCAGTGCCCTGTGAAAAGCAGTGCTGTAATGCCTGCCTCTCCTCTCCTCCTCCCTCCAAACACATGAGCACAATGTTCAGCTGAGTTGCCTGTTCTTTTTTCTGCATGTGCCTGAGGGCAGATTATCCATGTTCATCCAACCTCCCTTTGGAGGTTAATGGGGAACCATAGGTCAGATTGAGGAGAGTCCTTCTTTGTACACCATATTTATATTAAAGTCCAATGAGCATCACTGTTGATTGAAGCAGTATTTAGGGGGATGTGTCAGATCTTTGGAGTGCCAGGCTTCTGCATGTGTATGAGAGCAGTGGTCCAGCTCTCCAGTATGCTGCCAGCACAGGGTATTAAAAAAAAAAACCCCATATATTTAGTACTACATATATATGTTGACTGCATTATAATAGAACTAGTGAGGGATTGATTGGATCTTTAATAATCCTACTGGATCCCTTTTATAATGGATTATAATATAATGTGTCCCCATAGAATGGATCACAAATCAAATTTTATTGGATCTCTTTTATAATGGATCCTGATATGTGTCCCCATAGAATGGATCCCCCATAGAATTCCATGCTTTATTTATTTGAAACAGAAGTCAAGGTACCAAAACATACACCCATACATACATTGAAATGTTGCCCTTACAAAATAAACTGTGAAAATGAAAGATCAACTTCTAAACTTTAATCAGGTGATCTTGCTGGTGTGCTTTCTATTTGCTCTGCAAAGTTCTCAGAAGGCATGACACATGGAGCTACTGTGCTGTCAATTAACTTCCATGGCCGGGGTAGAGGTGGAGAGGCATGATGGCACTGGAAATGACAGAATTACTGCCACTTTAATGTGATGTTGCCAATACAGCCCATAAAAACGGTTACGTAGATTGTGACTGAGACTTACTACTTGGTGTATCGTGAAGGCTGGCTGCATAGCAGTAATGTCAAAGCACATTGATTAGGTGTAAGGATTGCAGCAGACTAAAACAGATTTTCCTTTTACTTCCACCTTCATCCCGCAGAAGCAGACAGGGCCTACATGAGAGTGGCAACTCTGCTGTGAATTCATCAACTGAACAGTATTGTTGCCACCCCATTGCAGGAAGCTGCATTAGGTGGACTTCAATGGTGTAACAAGTGTTTATAGGATTTTGCAGGGGGGCTAAGAGAAAACTGTAAATGCAGGCCCTCCTTTCTTCATTCCACTCCCACCCTCTCCTATCTAACAATTGCATATTTGTTTACTTTTTCTTTCTTAATATCTTTTTCTGAGAACACATCCCTGCACTTCCTGGATTCTTGCATTTTCAAGAATGACTTGCCCGTTGCCTGCAACCTCCCGGGAAACCTACATTATGCATCACAGAAGGCCTTGGGGTACTCTATGGCTCATGCTCTATAGTGCGTCATTGGGGATTGCGGTCTCTTCCTGGTTCCCGCAGTTGGCCTCCTGATGGTGCATCAGTGCACATCACCTCATCCGAAGGTTGGCTGCAAGAACCTGGAAGAAACAGGTGGCTCCCAATGACATCACAGATGAAAATAGAACCATATGACTGGGTGTGCAGTTTCAGAGCAGCAGATCCCTACAGAACACTGCTGGAGTATAGGAGGCATAACTCAGCACAAAGTGTAACACCCAGGTCACATCGGGTGCGACTTGGCATGCGATTTGCATGATATGCGACTTGAAAATTGCATGCCAAGTCGCACCCTACTGTCCAATATTACAGCGGTCATATCGGTGCGGTTCCGACTTGGTCGGAGCCGCACTGATTTCTAAAGTACTTTCATGTACTACTTTTGGTGTGATTTCCATAGACATCTGTGTCAGATGTCTTGCAAATCGCACCTGAAATCGTCATGTCCCCCGACTTTGAAATCGTTCACTGTAAGTCGCACGATTTCAAAGTCAGGCTTGATGTGACTGTGGTGTAAGTCGGGGAGGGGAAGCTTCTCTTTAAGTGCTGCGGCACATTTTATTTAATTTACTGTATAGTATGTATATAAAAAATGTTTAACCATTTATATGCCAACTGTTTGCTAGTGTCAATTAGAAAATGAAACCCACATTTGTTAGAACACAAATCATAAGTTTAGGAATAGTTCCACAGTGCTGGAATTGCTCTGCATTTCTTTTTAAAAAAAAAAAGGAGGACCTTCTGTAGTTTAATATAAATTCTTTCTCTAGTCTCCCACTTTTTGACATCATGTAGATTCTGTAAACATGCTGGGAAAAATACTCCACCTTGTTTGTGCCTGTGAGACAGTAGTGACATCTTTCCCTTAAAATGCCTATGACATGTGAATCAGAACTTTTCCGATGTTTGTGGAAACTGCTGGTTGCAAGTGATGTTTGTGTGGTCATTAATAACTAGGAATTCTACATCTGTCAAATCAGTAACTATGACTTATAAAGGCCAGGTACAGCATTTAAATGGACATTACACCCAAAAGTGGTGCTTTGCTTTTTACAGATGCCGTTTTGTAAAACCACCTGTTTCTTATATCTATCAGAATTCTGGTTTTGAGCTCTTAAGTTGGGTTTCCAGCTCTGCACACCTGCTACAACCATTACGATGGGATCACATGGTTCCAGTTGTGGTTTTATTTTAAATTATGGAAACTGCTGGAGTAGGAACATCAATCTCCAAGACAGAAATAATGACAGGGACCCCAAAAGATTTTTTTAAATTAAAATCATTAGACTCTGTATATAACCAAAGTTACAATTTTTTGGTGGATTGGACCATTTTAATGCAAACCCGTTCTTGCTTATACAGATAAAAGCAACAGGTTCACTTAAAGTATAACTAAAGGAGAAATGATTCACCCTCCCCATTTTTCCTGTTTACCATTATCATTTAAAGTGAAAATAAAAGAAAATCCCAAATTTTGGGTTATCTCCAGAAAAGTAATAGAGGGTAAATCTTTCAATGGGGACACTAGTTCTGGTGACCTGGGGGTCCCCAAGAGATTCCCATAATTTGCATGGTTTAATTTCCTATCACTTTCTGGTTTGGTTATAGGACAGGAACCAAAAGTAAATCTCCCTACTGGGACAAAGAGAGCAAAAATAAATCATACAGAGTTATATGCCTCCAGTACTCTATGCAAAATGAAAAATATTTTGCCTATAGTTATTTTAACTGTCTGCCCCCTGTTATCCTCGCTTCCTCAGCATACTTGCCTACCCTTGAGTTCTCCTCCTAACCAAATGGTTGTCAATATGAAATCTGTGTGGATCCTACTGAATAGTCTACATGCCCTAGGAGATGGCGTTTTTGTCTATTGTACTCTAAGAGACATTTCAAACAAGGATATGTGATTATGAGAATTATTTTTCAATGGAACTTTCACATAATTGTACTTTTTGATGGACTAAAGAGCTGGACTCCTTACTCCTTGTTATTGATTCTAATTTTTCCATCTTGATAGTTTGTGCATGTTTAGGCATGCTGAAGTGGCAATATCCTCCCTTTGCATGCTTGAAGTGGAAGTCCAGTCAAAACCTAACTAAGCTTAAACCTGCTCCCACCCCCATTCTAAGCCCTATACTAACTACCCTGTAAAGGAAAGATGTGTATAGTAATCTAATCCAGGGTTCAAAATTTCAAAGCGGAGTTCCAGACGTTTTTGTGTTTTATTAAAAAGTCAAGTCAGCAGCTACAAAAACTGTATTGCTGCTGACTTTTAAATAAACACACACTAATACCTACCTGTCCCAGGGTCCAGCGATGTACTCACCCGTGCCATCGCTTCTCTCCTCCACGGCGCTGGTATCTCAACTGTGGGCAACAGCTTGCGGCTTCACAGCCTGGTACTGACTGCGCATGCACAAGTTGCGCTGCGCTTCCTGATTGGTCCAGCAGTCTTCTGGGATCTGTGAAAGTTCCCAGAAGACAGCGGGAGGAAGGAGGGGGCCGAACTTCCAGCTCACTTTGCCGTGGCGAAGTGAGCCGGAAGTGGGAGCAGGTACCGATCAAAACCAGCTTCCCGCTCCCCCCAAAAGGTGCCAAATATGGCAGTGGAGGGGGGAGGAGGCAAACAATCAGAGCTTTTACTTTTGGGTGGAACTCCATTTTAAGCTACTAGCTCAGGAATAACCCCTACCCTGCCCCACCCCTAATTCCACCCCTAAACACGCCCTCATAAATTATGTCATTTAATGACACTGTCTTATGCAGAATAAAGGTACAAAAATATTAATAACATAAACTTTAACAATATTAACATAAAGCAATGTAAACCTATAAAAGGAAAATGAGCGCTTTACATTAATGGAAAAACAAAATGGCGCACAGTGCAGGGGCCAGCAGTATGACACATAGTGCAGGGAGAGGAGTATGGAGTTTAGGTAGGAAGGAAGGAAAGGGAGGGAAAGAAGAGAGAGGGGAGGGAAGTAAGGAAGGAAGAAATGGACAGAAGAAAAGGCAGGAAGGAAAGAGAGGGATGAAAGGAAGGAGGGAAGGAATGGAGGAAAGGAAGGTTGGAATCGCATGGATGGTTCTCGGCTCACTGGCTCAGTCAGGAGCATCACAGAGCTGCCAGCTGCTCTGTATACAAATTCCAGCCCACACATTCCCTTCTGAGAAGCTGTATGGACTGGAGTGTGGGCGAGCACGGGGGGACAGAGCATATCCAGCCTCTCTCCTCTCCTATTGGTGCAGAGGATGGAAGGAGGGGCTGGGCACTGAGGAGCACAGAGGGGGGGGGGGGGGGAGCCCAGAAAGAAAGAGAAATCAGATGGACGATCAGGGATGATGGGTGCAGTGGTGGGGGCAGTTACAAGCACTGATATCCCTGTATGGCTTTCAATGAAGCAGCTGAAAGATGTGGAAGGCAGAGGAGGCAAAGCAGCTTCCAGCTGCTTTGTTGAAAGCCATACAGGGAGATCGGTGCTTGTAACTGCCCCCACCCCTAGTGCTGGCCCTGCTCTCCCCCATTTTATTTCCACTCGCCAAATGCGAGCAGGCGGGTGGACATTTTGAGGGCTGATCTAATCCAAGGGCACGCCAGTCCGTTCACATGATCAGCTTCCAGCGCCGGATTCAGGGGAGAGGAGGAACAGTGGACAATGGATGTCTCATAGTAAGTCTATGGGTGACCACCGCCCAGGCATTGTAGCCATTGTCATTGCTCTCTCCTCTCATATAAAGCCAGTGGCTGGGGTGGTCATATGACCGGACTAGAGCGCCCTTAGATTAGGTAACTATACACAGTATGTATTTTTACAGGGTGGTTAGTATAGAGCTTAGAGTGGGGGCAGGGAGTAGGTTCCAGTTTAGATTTTGGACTAGACTTCCGCTAAAGTTCTGTTTATAGATTTTTAAATCTGAATCAGTGAACTGCTGTCACCTAATCGAAGTAGCAATAGCATATTTTTACACTTGTTAGAAAACTCTACATATTGCTGAACCCAGTGGTGCTCAGCTACCATATTTTGAGGAACTGACAGGCTATGAAATTCTTCTCTGAGCCACATCTTCGAGGCTTGAAGCATCTGTGTTCTTTACTTTGCCACTGCATGTAATTTATACATTTACATGTCTTGCATTACAGGTTTATGTTGTTCCATCCTGTAACCACAATGACAAAAGAGATTAGTCACATAATGTGTAATTAAAATATTGCATAACAAATTGTGGTCACTAGCTGTCTGATCTCTCCTGTCATACAGGTAGTTCCACGGTTTGATTCAAGAGGGCAGATTGTGAAAGCTCAAATCATCAACATTAGCTGGTCTGCAGACCACAGGATTATCGATGGCGCAACCATGTCCAGATTCTCCAATCTATGGAAATCTTACCTAGAGAACCCATCTTTCATGCTCCTGGATCTAAAATGAAATCAATGAAGAGAAGTATTATATTTTCTGCCATAACAGGAACAACCCGCTCTCCCCACTAAAAACCTCAACAGGATTTCCCTTTACTGTGGGAGGCACTTCAGCCTGGCTGTGTTCTCAATGTGCTATGGACAAATGTGCTAAATAATAAAGCACAAGTTACAGACCGACTATCCAGTTCAAAGATTTTGCTCTTTAATACTGTTTAGAATTTTAACTTTTTAGATACAAATGCCTGGAACTATTTTACAAGGTACTGTCAGCCCATCAATCTGTGAATGGCTTTAAGTGGATCCTGGAAACACATTTATATATCGGGCCTTACTGAATAAATAAATTGCATAAAGGAGAAAGTGAGTATGTTTTTAAATGCCACTCATATTCTGCCTTTCAATCATAAGATTCACAATGGGAGGAGAAGAGGAAGAATCTGGTTGCTATTGACAACAAAAACAGTTTATCCTTCAAACACTTCAAAAAACAAGGTTAGCTTGTATAATTTCAGAGTTCCTTTTGTGGTGTCTCTTGACAAATGCTCTCTGCCCTAGAAATGGATCTGGCCTTTTTTGTAAGATTCAGGAACATGATTATTGTCTGATCCAACTGTTTTGTCTAGACAACATCATATGCTAAAAATATGTTTTGTGTTGGTTATTGACTGGTCAGTGAAATGAAACTGGGTCTGTCAAGCAAAAAAAAATACTTGACTGTTACACTACATAAGGATCAAATTAAACATACAACTGTGCTGATTACTGTGTGTGTTTGCTGTAATTAGAGAAATATGTAAGATGGTTTTAAATTATCATAATGAGGATTAACACTCCATGCCCCCATAATGTTCAGTGTCGCTGTAATAAATAAAATGGGATTGTGGCAAAATACCTGTCTGGTTTTTTTTTTTTTTTGTTTGTTTTTTTTAATTAGAATGGGTCTCCTTATATTTCATATTACCAGTTATTAACTGACTTCAAATTTCAATTGTTCAGCTTAGAGATGTTTTCTATTGCGCAAAATGAGCCTGTTTTAGCCTTGTGTATATTTACATTTTGATGAAGTTAAAGATGAACTCCAGACACAACTTTTCTCAAGTAGTTGCTTCCTGTGACGTAAAACTTTTTTTGTAATCTGTAAATTTGGGTCTGACACCAAAACATGTTTGACACAGCCTTTGCATAGAACTGAGCTGTGGAAAGCTTGCTGCTGGGGGATTACCATGTCAGGTCCAGGCCATGTCTGTGACCAGGGGAAACATTTCTCATGATTCCCACCACTTGTACATGCATTACATGGGTAAAGTTTATAGGCATGACAAGCGTGTGTATTTATATAAAACACATCTTTTTTTTTTTTAATTTTCGTTTTTCTATTAAAAATTATATATCTCACAAGATGCGTACATATAAGCATCTTTATGAATCTAGCAAACTGGCCATTTGCATGCCCTTCTGAAATCTAACCACTATTAGGCTTAGTTCACACTAGCTTTGAAAGCACGTGTTTGAGGAGTGTTTTTAATGCTCAAACGCCTATGGAAATGATACTATGGGCAGCACACAGTTCTATTCACATTAGCGAAACATGAAGCGTTAGTGTCGCTTTAAAATTGAAGCCTCATGTCGAGTCAGGAGGAGTTGAAGCCTTTCAACACCTCCTATTCAAGTCCATGGTGATACCATTACAATTTATTATATGCATTTGTAGTGGGATTTGAACGCTTGCAAAACTCCTAGAAAATGCCTCAAAACTGCGCATAGAGTGTTTGGGGAGCGTTTTTTAACACTTGTAAACCTCCCATACGTAAGCTCATTAATGCCTGTCTAATGCTAGAGGGGCGTTTTTGAAGAGTTAGAAATGTAGTCAAGCCCTTAGATGCACACTGCACTGTCACTGCCTGGAACATAGCCTATTATCAATAGCAGTTGAAACTGCCACTGTGTTGCATAATTGCACAATCTCAGGCAGTGATGGGGCAATACCTTTACTGTATGGCATGTTATTTTGATGAATCCACATCTGAAAGGTTGTAGTTAGAGGTGGAATCAACTATACCTCAAGGACATCAACCTTTGTAATGCAAAGAACGTCCAGCATACAGAACAAGAGAAATGGTACTGTGCCATTTCCATACAAACCTGAGCACAACAATTTCTGAGAATGACACTCAGCATTCAGAACAAGGAAAGTGACTGTTTAGTGTCCATACACACCGAATAAGAACAGATACTGAGAATTACATTTATCATACAGAACAAGTCAGTGATACGGTATAGCACACATACATGCAGAATAAGAACACATGCAGAGAATTACATGTGGCATACAGAATGAGAAGTGAATGCAGAGTAGCATCCATACATAAAGAAAGCAATCCAAACAAAAAAAAGTTGTACAATGCATCATGTTCCACTATGACATATAACTAGCTAAAGAGCATAAAAAGAAAAAAAAATAGCATACAGGCCAAAACCAATAAGTTGCAGAAAACAAAAAATAAAGATAATTCTGCTAAGCATCACTAAGAAAAGATCTAACCAAGTACAATGCCCGCATGTGAAAGGCCCTGGCCATTATGAAGAAAAAAATAATTTCAGCAAACAACTGGTTTGTCAGTTATACCATTCCAGAGAGGCTCACCATTATTGCCATCTTCCTCCACATGTAAAGCTGATCATACATGTATAGTTTTCTTTCTCTCCACCTGCATAGCTTAAATTTTGGTTAATTCAGCAGGTACCAGAACTACTCGCATGAAAAGCTTTGAAAGTCTCAGCATCAAAAACTAGCTATCCAGACCAGTTTTTTTGATTTCTCAGTTGACAAATGCAGGGCAACTTCATACACATTTATTATTTAAAGAGTATTTAATAATGTTGAAAAAAAAAAAAACAATATCTTCTGTTGTTCTGAAGAAATTGCTGTTTGATTCACCATGTCCTTTGTAGGATGATTCTGAGTGAGAGGGTCTGGTTCATTATAATCACCAGGTGCACTTTTGGTGTTTTAATGAGAGAAGCTGCAGGGTCTGTAACCCTTTAAAATATTTAACCCTTAACCAGTATCTTGCCTACACTGAAATTTCTATTGCGGGAGGTGCCAAAAATTTGACTTGTATCTTGTGCAGATTTCTGGAAAATCACTGAGCCAATCGCACAAGCAGGAAATGACATTTCTGGTGGCCATTTGTGGGGAGTTCAGCGGTATAGTACCTAAAACGCACAACACAGATGTGATGCAGCCCTATAAAGCTATGTTTCTTTTCTTTTCTTTTCTCCTGCTTTTTGTAAATGTATAACTTTTTGGTTCCAGGTCAGGGTGCACCTAGTAGTAGTTAGTCACATTTAGGCTAGGTACACATCTGTGTGGGTGATTGCTGCTATGGGACAGCACCTGTTCCCGCAGCTGCAACCACCTGCACAGAAAAACGCAGGAGATGCGTGCGGGTGCCATTAATCCTAATGGCACTCCACACGCACTGGAAACTGCTCATACACTGGGAACAGCACTTCACTTGCAGTTCCGAAAATGGAGCAAGGATCTTTTCCCTGCATATCAGGATATATGGCAGCCCAATCAAATGGCCATGTGACTATATTAGGTCAAAGATGTCATGAACATCACTGCCCCTTTGTGTATATGAGCTGCAGGATCAGTATTCCTCACCCGCAGCTCATTGGCCTGGGAATGACAGTTGACTTAGACCGAAACCCAGTTTGGCACAAACACAAGCTCATCCCTAATACGCATCGAAATGTCTTCAACAATACAGAACAGTACAAATTAATGTAACTAACTTCTACTTGTTTTTATGAGGATTTGTTAACTGATTTTGTGTTTACCTTTTTTTTTTTAATTTTTTTTTTTTTTTTTTTATCAATTTTCTATACATTCTATATTCTTAATATTTTTAACAAAAAAAAATTGATATGATAAGACCGAGGATGCACAGCAGTGATGCACTGCTGCCATGGTATGCTCATTGGATAACCTGTTATTAAGTCGGCAGACCTGACAACCTGTCAGGTTATATGCCTTTTGGCCCAGTTTCTGTAATTGAACCTTTTTGTTTGCTCTATATTGTAAATTTGTGATATAGAATGTAAAGTTAGAAAAAAATAAACATATTAAAAAAAAAAGAAATAAACAGAAGAAGTACATAATACACACACAGCTACAGCTGCACGTGAATGGAGTAATTGGAATAATCGCCATCCAAGATTTGCTGTTATGTGAGGATGTGCTATGTTTACTCACTAGATATCTGTTGTTATGTAAGTAGTCTTATGTGACTGTTACATGTTTGTTTATTAACAAGAATTTAATCAGCAGGAGTGTGTAGGGAATTTACATAGCAAGCAGTTCTTGTATTTCCTTACACTCAAATTAATCTTTTAAGCTCCAGGAAAATGTAAAGCTTCCTGTAATCACGGCATTCCATAGTAACACATCACAGTCTTTATGTTGTTCAACGATCTGAACTGCTCCAATCCATAATAATGCAAAAGGTGATTTATTTGTCATAACAAAACCCATAATTCCTGCTGTAATAGTCAGCTTCATAAAAAGTGGTCACATTAGGTCCTCAGGTACGTCACATAATATGAGGAGAGACTATTGAGTTATGCAGGCCATAGATGGGTTGAAAATCGGCCGATTTTTTGGCCGAAAATAAAATCAGCCGATTTTCGGATCATTAGTGGGCTATTTGTTCGGCCGTTTTTCGGTATTTTGGCCGTTTTTTTTTTTTATCGGTAAAGTTGGAAAAAATCGGCCGATTTTCGCGGCAATGATGGGCAAATCGGCCGATTTTTTACCGATAAAAAATCTGCGCATGAGCAGTGACCTGCAAGAGGAAGACAAAAAGAAGAAGAGGATGATGATGATGAAGAAGAAGAGGATGATGATGAAGAAGAAGAAGAAGTAGTAGAAGAAGAGGAGGATGATGAAGAAGAAGAAGAGGATGATGATGAAGAAGAGGATGAAGAAGAAGAGGATGATGA